GCACTCACGCTGGTACCAGGCACGTGACCTGATGCTGATGAGTCACCTGCAGGACAACATCCAACACGCTGACCCACCTGTACAGGTAGGCACTCTTAATCATTATTCCTTCATATGAACGTGTTCTGACTCTAACTATTAGTTGTATATACAGATCGCCTGTTTTAACCGTTTTCCCCTCCTCCTACCAGATCCTGTACAACAGAACAATGGTCCAACTTGGCATTTGTGCATTTAGGCAGGGCATGATTAAAGATGCCCACAATGCACTGCTGGACATTCAGTCCTCTGGCCGTGCCAAGGAGCTGCTGGGTCAAGGTCTGCTCATGAGGAACATGCAGGAGAGGAATGCAGAGCAGGAGAAGATTGAAAAGCGAAGACAAGTAAGTGCTGTCTGACCAGAGCAGTTAACTCTAACTAACATGTTGGTTTCTCTGTCAGTGTTGACCTGCTTGTAACCTGGATTTACTCTGTGAGTGAGTGAATTTTTGGGCCCCTCTCTCACAGCTGCAGGACAGATTTCCAGAAGATTTCATACAATTGTTCATGTGCACTTGGTGACTAGTTACTTTTTTGTTTTTTCCCTAAATGGGCCTTGACCTCACATTAATGTGCCAACTATTCCATGGTGTCTCCAGCTGCCTGTGTCCACAATAGTGTGAAATCAAGGCTGTAATGAAACGACAAATGTTTTGGTCTTTATTTTTAAAACACTGATGTGTCAGACATCCATTAGATGATACACACATGCATCGTGACGTTTATCCTCCCTAATAGGTGCCGTTCCACATGCACATCAACCTGGAGCTGCTGGAGTGTGTGTACCTGGTGTCAGCCATGCTGCTGGAAATACCCTACATGGCCGCCCATGAGTTTGATGCCCGCCGCCGGATGATCAGCAAGCAGTTCCACCACCAGCTCAGGGTCGGGGAGAGACAGCCCCTGCTAGGTACGAAACGCATCACGAGAGCTCGTTGTAGCAGGAAGTTTCATCCACAGAGGATAACCACAGCTTTATTTGTCCTCCAGGACCCCCAGAGAGCATGAGGGAGCACGTGGTGGCAGCCAGCAAAGCCATGAAGATGGGAGACTGGCGTACCTGCCACTCTTTCATCATCAATGAGAAGATGAACAGTAAGGTTTGGGACCTGTTCCCTGAGATCCAGAAAGTACGCGAGATGCTCGTCAGGTTAGCATACACTGCCCCTGTTCATCACTTGGTTCATTCACCAGTGTGATAATCCCACTTGGACGTCCTTATGTTTTGTTTTTTTAATAGGAAAATCCAAGAAGAGTCACTGAGGACCTATCTGTTCACCTACAGCAGTGTATACGACTCCATCAGGTGAGCACAGATGTATTAGTTTCATCAGTCTTTACTAAACCACAGATTTCTGTAGACCACTGCAGCTTCCCCACAGACCAAAGATGATCGGTCACTGTTCTGCCAAACCTTAATTTTACTACGCTTGTCTGTCCTTCAGCATGGCTACGCTGTCTGAGATGTTTGAATTGGAGATGCCCACAGTCCACAGCATAATCAGCAAGATGATCATCAACGAGGAGCTGATGGTAGGACTCGACGTTTCTGTTCTGTGGACTGAAAATATAGACACAGCAGTCTCATGGGGGCTTTTATATTTGAGAGTGTTTATATTTGTGATTACTTTTTATATGCCTTTAATTTGGATCCCCCCATTTTTCTCTTCCCAACAGGCGTCACTCGACCAGCCCACACAGACGGTAGTGATGCACCGCACTGAGCCAACGTCTCTGCAGAACATGGCTCTGCAGTTGGCAGAGAAACTGGGCAACTTGGTGGAGAACAACGAGCGCGTCTTTGACCTCAAACAGGGCGTCTATGGAGGTTACTTCAACAGGGGTAAGTTCATCATGTTCTCACAGTACTTTGGGAACTTATTTCTAACCTTTCTGAACCATTTCTTTGTGTACTTTTGTTATCATAGGCTAATCTTGCTATTAGATAATAATGAGCTTTTATTTGTATTACAGATCAGAAAGGTGGCTACCAACAGAAGCAATCCTACCAGAGAGGTATGTTAAATTTCACTGAGGTTGTTTCCTGTTTCATATGTTAATGAGGTTGGGTTATGTTTTCAGCAATAGATGCTATTTTAAATTCGTCCAATTGCAATTGCTAGAAAACATGCAAAGTCCTTCAGTGTAACACCTTTGTGTTTTGATTTGTTTTGAGGTTTGTTTGTTTTTTTCTTCTTTTGTTGTGATTTAATGAATTTGTGTGAACACTAATGAGATGATTGTTGTCTTTGTACAACCGCAGATCAGAAATCTTACCAGCAGAAGCAGTCGGGTTACCAGAGAGGCGGTTACAGGAATCAAAATCAAGGAAATTATTGAGCTTGAAGTTTGTGGATTTCAGTTTTTCCAGTAGAGCTGGTCTTCATTTCAAAACAAGATCAACACCCCATGTTTGTGTGCTTGGCTCTTGGCCGTGCTCCCTCAATAAAACTGTTTTGCTGCTACTCCAATGTCTGCTAGTGCTGCTTTGTCTCAGCAACTGCAGAGTGTAATATTCCACTTCCAATAAATATGAAGTTTTATTATTTCTAACAGAAATTACTGACGTTACAGTGTGGCAGTACAGTTAAGGGATAAAAATGTGTTATTGACTAATATTTATCAAATAAATAAAGTGTGTTTTGGTGCTTGGTTTTTTGTTTTTTAATTCAGCACAAAGACACTAAAGCGTGGAACAAAATTTTTAAAAAATGTGTGGAAAACTGAGTCCTCCCCACACATTCAAAATCATCAATGTCTATGTTTATCAGGGTCGAGGGTTAATTACAAAGGGTTACATCTTTTGTGGCATACATACAAGCCTTAGTGCTTCGGTAATTTTGGGTAAATACAAACCATGGGACAGTCACTGTGTCACTACCACTGACATTTATTACTGATTAGTCGATGCTTCACAGCAACTTGAATCACATTCTGGCGAAGCAGTGGAAAGTTGTTTATTAATAGCAATAGCAGCTTACTCTGTAGAGAAGTTTGAATCTGTTTCTTCGGTCTAGTTTTATAAATCCTCATTTCTGAGCATCATGTTCTTTTGTTTAATTACATTTCATAAGCATTTCATACATTAAAGTACACAAAAGCAATCTTTTGATACCCTGTCCATCAAATACAGTGTTCTCTCATGATCCGATCTTTATTCAGTTCACCCACACACATTAACATGATAGAATAGCCTTTATTGTCATTGTACAGAGTACAATGAAATTGGAGTGCCACTCCCTTAATCATCATTGTTAATTAAATGTTTTATGCTTAATTCAGTTTACCTTCTGTTGCTAAATAACAGGCCCAGTAGTAGTTTTCAGGAGCTTTCTGGATATTACACCTTCAAGAGATATGAAAGTGTATTAAACAACAGTGCTTCCCCACTAAGATCTTTTCCACACCACCTCCTGGTTGCAAACGTTAATATGAAACTGCAGAGTTCAGTGTTGGTTGATTGTTAGCTGCCTCCCCTTAAACTCAGCCGGAGTCTCCGATTGAGCTCTTTCCTCAGTAGGTCTCTTTCTTTCCGGATTCCCTGCAACACTGTGCGGTTCTCCTGAGCTCTGCGCACCAGGTAGGGCAGCGTTTCATCCACTGATCCATAGGGCACTGACTTGTACACTGAGTAACCCTCCTTAGCTGGAAGGGAGAGGAGAGATGGGATGGTGTGATTGTCAGACAAGTCAAAACCATAGCTTCCTTTCTCAACCCACTCAGGCAGTGATTGTGCATAGGTTTATCAGTTTTGGTGATGAAAGCGTGGACAGTCATTTAATAGTTATGTTAAGTGCATGAGTCAAGCTGTGATGTGACGAAAATCAGCTCACCCAGTGTAAGGGAGACGTGGTCACACATGCCCAGCAGCTGACCGAAACACACTGAGCCTCCATCTCTGTCTATCCCCAACTCCTCCATTCTGATGAGCATGTGCACAACATTTATATATATTAAATGGCAGTGATTCCCAATCTTTAGGGGTCATAAATACATTTGAGGGTTGTACCTTTATCACCAATAAACATCTATAAACCTCTATCACATAAGACCAAAGGAACACCCCTAAGCTTCATTTTATCCTTATTGTATTTGCTCTGCAAGACAATTGAAAGTATCATAAATTCTGCAAAAAAAGTAATTGTTTGTGATTATTTCTTGGATGTAACAATGCTACTTGGAAAAACAATCTTATTGTTGGAAAGCATTTGGTGGTTGAGCAGCAGAGTTGAGTATCTGAGTTAAGCCCGTGAAAAACTTGCCAGATATTGCCTGTCAAAGCTAAACAACAATCCAGTAACATTAACAGTTTGTTGTATTTTTATATTTAAAGTAGTTATGAAAACATTTGCTGATTTGTCAACCTTATCACTCTAGTATGGATTTATCATTGGCTCACCTATAACTGCACTTCCATTATGCATATGTTGCACACATACCACCTCGATTACGTCGTTGTGGATTCTCACCGTTTCACGGCTCGTCTCACTGACTCCTCGTTGTGAGTGGCCACTATGATCCTGTACCGCTCAGGTTCCTGGGATATGACGTCCAGCATCAAATCAAGGCATCCGTTATAACTGTTCAAGAAGACGTGAAATGTATCAAGAGTCAAATCAAGATAAACAAAAATGATAGTTGACTGTTGCACTCAGGACATTTTCCTTCTGTCTAACCAACCTGTCATTGGTGTCCCCCCAGCTCTGATGGATGGGGTCCTGGTGACCCTCTTTCATCGCTAGTTTTCTCTCTTTGTCCATGTAGGCTCCTCTCACCAGCTTGACACCCAAACAGAAACCCTCATTCTTGGATAGAGACAGCGCGTCTAAGAGGAGAGACCTGGAGTCCTGATAACCACAGAATTTAACCACAGACACAAAGAATTATAATTAAAACCATTAACTGTCTCAGTGCAAGTGACATAAACTGTCTGATATTTGATGATAATATGAGAAGAGAAATAAAGATAAAGATAGTTGCCTTCAGGTAACATTGATATGTGTTCCAGATCCAGGTACCATCTTTGTTAAATTTCTTCATCATTGCCATGGCGACAAGAGAGAGGGCGGGGTTCATGTAGGTGTACTCAGCATCAACCAGGACTCTGACTTTGTTCACACTTGCCTAAAAAAGTTTTATTCATTTCATTCAAAATTTGCATCTACACTTATTAAATTTGCTTCATGTGTCAAAGTGGGCGTATTGTGCTTCTCTCTGTTTTCTTAATAAATATTCAATTACAGTCGTGCATGATTTTAAAATAATATAATCCCCAACTATTTTTTGTATACTTGTGCCGAACTGACATCACTTTGAAATGGTCTCCCATTTATAATCACTTCAGGCACAGTCAGAGCTACAGTTTTGGCCCTGACTGAGGAGGTGGAGTTTACAACCAGCAAGTTCTGGTTAAGTCAGGAGAGGGGCAGCCAATCGGAACAAAGTGGGCTTTTAGGCAGAGGGCATTACAGAGACAAGCATTAATAGACCGTCTAAATGCCAATATTTGCATGAATTACATATTTAAATTTGTTTTTATTTGTTAAAACTGAATACTCTTGGTAAATCTCAGAATAAAAGTGTGTGAGCATAACAGGTCCCATCTATTGGAGCATTTGTTAAGTGTTCGATTGTCTCTCCCCTACCTCGGCTATCTTGTTGAGTCTCAGTAGGCCAGATCGTAAGTGGGCAGCTTCCTTTTCATCTAAACCGGGGAAGCTGATTGGCTGAAAGAGACGATTTTAGGCAAAACTTCTTTATATGGGAACTGAAAGGTGACACCTAAGAAACTGGATCACTTGTTGAATTGTGGACTCACCTCACCATCCATTGATCTGATGAGGAGATTCAGATCGTATGGCTGTTGCCTGATGATGTTTGTGAGTTTTACCTTTAATACAACACGTACATTTTCAGGAAATAAACAGTGTCAAAACTGAATAAAAACAGGTAAGGCAGATAGGTAGGGGGAGCTGGGTTTGCACATTCAAAAACAACCTGGAACAGCTGTGGATACACCAAACTCTGAAATGTGTGTCCTTATCTTTTTTCCCACATATTTGAAGCCTCTGATGTTAACACCCAAGTTCCCATACATTCAGAATACTCGGAAATGCCTCCACCTACCCACCCACTCAAAAAAAAAAAGTTTAAAGTCCCCTCAAGCATCTGTTCTAAAAAATAATAATATTAAGGACTGGGGACTCTGATTTGGAAGCCTTACACACAGCTCTGGGCTGAGCAGCGCTGTGATCTTCAGCTGCATCATCGGGTCTTTGCTCCAAGCGTTGCTGTGGGACATTCGCACACACTCCAGCATGGTGTCCATGTTGTCGTCGTATCTTTTCTCACTGCAGGCAATAAACCATAAACCGTAACATGAGAACCGCGAAGAGTGGACTTCACACTCAGGTGTAACAGCTGTGCACAGTTGTGTGTGTCGTGGGTTGGAGCTGAGTGTGAGGTCCTTTAACTTTTGTCCTCATATGCTTGAGATGCAGAGGCAGGAGGTGGGCTGGGACCTATACTGCAGACTTCAGACAGTCTACAAGCCACAATTCATAGAAACATACATAAACAAAAAAACGTATGAAATGTCTGAAATTATGTACAAATTAATGCAAACCTGTTGAGAAGAGATTTTAAGAAATTTCAAGATTTCAAGATAAAAATCCATCAATCTACGAGCAGTCTCAGCTTCCACAGAGGAAACACAGCTTCTATCAGACTCTCAGTGTGTATTGGATTCCCGTTGACCAAATTCAGAACATATATGAATATTTGACACTCTTTTCTTTGCCTATTTTTATCAAAATAAATAAATACCACAAACATTTTATTTTACTTCATGTGATAGGTGCAAGACAAATATTAAAGACATTGTTTGTAGCTGCACAAGTGAGCTATTGAGTTTGTAAGGCTGGCTTTGAGGGGAGCAATCTCTCCCACTCAACTGCTCTTTAAGCAAAAAACATCTGCATCAGATTTTTCTCACATTTGTGATTTGTGATGTTTTTCTGTCATGGTTTTGTGCAGTTAAATGAGTGCTTCTGTGTCTAGCAAAATTAGAAATGTATTTATTTGTTCTTGTATTTCAAAATCACATCATTGTTCAATTAAGTTAAGTTAATAAGTGTCCCAAAAACCTAAACGTCCACATGCATTGATCTAAAGTGTAGCGAAGGCTAAAATCTGCCCAGCAGCTGTGAAACTTCCAAGTACTAGGAACATTGAGTGAAAATTAAAAAGTGTCTTTTGAAGCAGCCTTTCAGCGACTTCTTAGACTCAGTCATACCCGGTGCTTTCTCCGAGGTCCTCCTCGATCGGCACGGCCAGCATGGGTCTCATTCCCTGCAGGCTCATCTTCTGCATGGACTGCGAGATTTCAGCCTCATTTTCTCCAGCCACAAACTGGGCATACACAGTGGGCCTCAGCAGCAAGGAAAAACCCCTTTTCCCCAGGAGCGTGCGTGCCACCGACATCAACTGAAATTAGCAGAAGAGGAAAGTAGTGAATGGATTGAATGCCAGATGTCAATTTGTATATTTTGAAGCTTTTCTGACAAACCGCAGTCTCACCTTTCCACAGTTATTAACCAGCGCTGGGAAGGAGCAGAGGCGGAAAACGCCCAGAGCACGAAGCAGCTCACCCAGACTCTTCACCTTGAAGGCACGGGGGTCCTCAAAGGCCAGAGTGTCTGAGAGCAGTTCATGCTGTTTCACCGCTGCCACCCTGGAGGCCGCAGAACTCAGGAGCCTCAGCGGCAAAATGTGAGGGAGAGAGGGACGTAAATAGGAGCACAGCATGGTCCCGGGAGAAGTGTGCAGTGTGACTGATGCAGCTTGTAGATAAAGCTTTTTCTTTTCTTTGTTTCCTCTCAAATGCAGCAGTGTGTTAAATAAAATACAGACTCTCAGTGATCGTCTCAGGAAGAGTTATTCCCTGTTGAAAGAAGAAAGTGTCTGTCCAGTTAGTCGGCCTTACTCCAAGAACGGTCAGTCACAATCATGATGAATCAGAAGCAGCGTCTGTTACTATCCATTGCAGTAATAAAACTGTATAAACAAACACCTTACCGTCCATCCTAACAGTGGCACTCGGAAGAACTAAACAATGAAAAGCCAAAGCTTTGACAGTCCAAGTGTGAGCCGGTAGAATTTATCATATTTGGTTAACTCGCTGGTTAATAAATGACAACTTGGAAATTTGAGTAAACATCAGGTTGACCCTTAGAATGAAATCAAACGAATGGACAAGAAAAGCTCACCTGTGTATAGATATCATGTATAAGATATATAATCATGTTGAATCTAGTCTTTTTTTATTGTAGACTTTTTTGTTTCCTAGAAGTTTTAAAATAGATTTGTCTGAAGAGTCCCATTAATGTGGATCAAATTCAGTCAAATAGTTGATCAAATGAGCTGTGTAGTTTGTGGCCCATGTGATGTTACAGTAATGAACAGGAGAGAAAATTGTACACTTAACAAATGCTGAAAGCTCCATTATATCTAGAGAAGGGTTGAGCTCAAACATCTGTTTCCCCAAAAGCCACGAAAAGCAGCCGAGAGAGGAAATGATTAACTGCTGCCTGCTGACGTCCTCGTCAAGTACCTTTGACTTGTTAGTCTAAAAATCCTGTTAATCCCCCACAATCTCTGCTCTCCCAGCCATAAATGTACTCATAGCTGTCCACAAAATGACTGATGCTGTCTTTGTCTGCACTGTGGCAGAGATCAGTGACAGAGCTTTAACTGCTTCTAATCTTCTAGATCAGGGGTGTCAAACTCATCATCAAAGCTAAAACTTTCGCATAACAAATTATAAGATAGAGTCATTTTCTGAGTAAAACTCAATGGAAAGAAGTAAAATTAAATTCTAAAAGCTTTAAAATATAAACCATCTATTTACAAAATAGTATTTCACATTTGATTGAATGAATGGGGTGGAGATTATTAGACATTCAATCCTGACCCATGTCTGAATATGGAAAATCAGATGTTTCCTGTTTAGTCTTCCTTGTAATTTGCGTAACAGCAATTAGGAGGTACACTTATGTGAGAAAAATAAAGCTTTCAGTGTAGTTCTGAAACTGGTTATCGGCAAGTGTGAGCAACTCTGTAAATGCATAAGGTTTGATAGTTTAGTTCTGGGATATTCAAGTGTGTGTTAACACAATACAATGATACGATTGTTAGTGCCCATCAGTCTGGAAAGTTCATGACAGTACACTCAGCAAAAGACTGAAAAAGTATGGATTGTTTGGACGGGTTTCCAGGTTCTCTAAAATGAACATGGCTTAGGTTTGCAAAGTTGCATCTGAACAAACGACAAGACTTCTTGTGGATAAGACCAAAGTGGAGATATCTGGCAATGTTTAGAGAAATCCAAGCGCAGGCATATCAGCACAAACACCTCCTACCAACTGTCAAACACAGTGGTGGAGGGGTGATGATTTGGGCTTGTTTTGCAACTACAAAACCTGGCAACAGTGCTGACATCTTCGATTGCTAACTCGGGGTATGTCAGCGTGCTCCGACTTTCTGAGTTGAGGCAGGATTCCACAAAAGACATTTCTGACTAGGAAGTCGGAATTTTTGACTTTTTGAGGAACACACCATAAGTGACATCATGGTGGCAGCGTCCATCCTTTTTATACAGTCTATGTTTTCATTCAATGTTGATGAGAGTGGTAGGTTACGCTGATTGTTTGGGGCTAATATGCATAGATTTTCCAACCAGTCCAACACTCAAATTTAAGAAGATGATTTAAGGCAGAAATTCACTCAAGAGTGCTCGATTTTTTATTTTTTACATTGTATCTCTAGTTTCCAGTCTTTACTTAAACTAGTCATATCTTCTCAGTAACTCCCCAAAGTCTCAGCTGGATATCTGACAAATCCTTCAAGCTACATACAAATATTACAGTCTTTGTCAGCAAAATATTTCAGTTGAAAAGGATTGAGTCACAAAAGCTTGAAAAAACAATATTTTATTTTTCACACTGGAATGAATATAGAAAAGAAAATCTTCAACAAGTATATACAAACGAGGCCCAGTTTCATCAGTCTGTCAGCTAAACTGCTGAGAAGACACAGACACACAAACACTGGGCTTAAGCTAATTCTACACATCATTGACTCCCCTTAAAAGTTCATCCATATAAAAATACCATATTTCAAAACATTTGTCTTGTGCTCATTTCCAGGTAGGACCCCTGTGAGAGTGAGTGGCCATGTTGTTGCCTGTACAAGTGCCTGAATGGGATTGAGAGGGAGGGGTGAGGGTCCTGACATAGCCGGAGAGGGTAGGATTTAAAGGTGGGGTAGAGAGCTGGGTTAGGGGCAGAAGGGGGAAGTGAAGGATCCAGCTGTGGGAGAAGAGATGGATGGTGCCGTACCATCTCTGGACGATAAGGTGGTGCAGGATTGAAGGGAGGCACTGCACCAATTTCAACAGCAGGATATGAGGGCGTAGAAGATGATGTACAAGGATTGTGTACTGGCGGCAGTGTAGCAGCAGGGGTGACGGACTGCTGGAAAGAAGAAGCAACAGCCAAGCAAGAGGAGGGTTGAAAAGGAGGATGAGGAAGGGTGGATGGTGGGTAAGGGAAAGAAGAGGGAGGAAATGCAGTAGCTGGAGCAAGTGAAGGAGCTTGAGCTTGGTGGGTCAGATTTGGGAGGTGGAGGGCAGGGTGGGCCGGGCTGGGAGATACATGGGAAAAAGGCAGATTTTGCATCTGTGGGGGAATAGATGGAGGAGCAAAAGATGTGGAAGAAGCATGCATGGGTAAGGAGCAAGACAGAACTGGAGCTGGTGGTTGGTTTTGACAGGGGAAAGGCTGAGCAGTGCTCAGAGTGGGGCTGGGATTTGTTGGCACAATATTTTGATACATAAACGCTGCAGAGCTTTGATCACTGGGTGAATCAGTGGCGAGAGGTCCGGCCTGTGGCTGCTGGCCAGACTGGGTGAGCAGAGAATGAACAGCTACTTGGTCCTGGAGATCTGACGGACATGTGGTGGACGACGGGGCATGAAAAGAGGCATCAGTAGAAGTGTGGGGGCTGATGGTGTCTGGGACTGCATGGTAGTTGTTTGAGGAAGAGGAAGGGGAGGATGATGACGAAAGGAGTGGTTGTGGGGAGGTAGAGCTGGAAGGGGGCGGAGTGGGGAAGGTGAAGGAGGTCTGCTGCAGCGAGGGAGTGTTGGAGGTGGAAGAGAGTGCGGGGGAAGATGACAGAAGGGAGGGATAGTTGATAGGAGGGATGGAGGGCTGAGGATCGGATCTGTCCAAGGGGTCAGAGGCAGGATGGGAGGGGAAGGAGGAGGATGACTGAGGGAGCGGAGCACAGGGGAAAGAGGAGGAGCTGGCTTGAGCAGCAGGGAAGCTGGAGGTGTAGGCTGCCTCAGCCATTGTGTCTGATCTGTGGAGGAGAAAGGAAATGAGAGCTTGAATCAATTTAGTGTCGTAATTTCTGAAAATAATAATAATCAGCCATTAGAGATGTGTGTAAACCACACATCTCCTAGCAGTAAGACTGAACCAGAAATTTTGACATTGCTAGGTTAGGTTATGTAAAGCAGTAATTAGACTAAAAATATAAAACATTATTCTTTGTATAGTCTATCTATGTGAATCATGCTAATATCAATTACATTCCTCTGCCTCCTACCTTTCAATCATACTATTTGCCCTCTCGCTTCCTGGCAGCTCTTGTATGCCACTGGCCAATGTGATGCTGATGTCAGACATCTGGGATGCCATAAACTCCTGGCCGAGGTCCAGTGACTGCTCCGGGACCAAAGTGTCCTGATAGGAGGTGTCCCCTGGTCTGAACCCACAGGAGGTTTCGGGCAGTGCAGGCAGAGAGGCCAGAGCGAGGGCCTGCAGGTCTGCACCGGTTACTGGGGGCTGCTGCAGGAGCTCAGTGGAGTCGCATGGATCACAGTTCACTGATGGCAGACAAGTGGAAATGTTTCAAAATGAGAAATACATTACATTCATTTTTAAATTAAGTTACTTAACGTGCCATAAATCTGGTTTTCCCCCTTACCTATATCTAAAGTTTCTGTCAAGACGGCAATTTTGCGTTTCTGTCTCGCATCTCTTTGTCTATAAAGAAAAAAGGCATTTAGACCCTGCACAACAACAGATGAATGTAGACTGTGAGTTTTTGCTGCTTGTGTTGGGAATTACTTTTTGCTGTTCATGCCGTCTTCACGGAAGCCTTTAGCAAAGGGGTTGGAGTTGATCTTAAGCTCAGTGATCTGAAAATAAACACAAAACACATTTAATATTACATTACATCTGTTGTTTGAAATCATGTTCTTAATGTTGCAAAGAATCTCTTATATATCAAATGAATGAGTGTCTCTGTGAGTCTGTTGCTTGGTAACACAAAACTCGCAGTCAGAGCAGAAAATAACGGTACCTTGCTGTTCTGGTAGGCGGTGACGGTGATAAACTGGGTCTCGGGGAAAACAAAGGAGTGCTGCCCTCCACCCCACCTCAGTACATCCCGGGCTTCTATCACATGAATTCTGGGCTGGTATCGATGCAGAGAGTGTAGGATGATCTTTGAATAGAAGAAAAAGGCTAAACTCAACATGCCTCACTGAAGGTTATGTGCTGTATCTCCGCTAGGCCTGTTCATGTGCAGTACGTACATGTCCCTGTGTGTCCAGGGTGTTGTTTGTGAGCTTGGCGTAGTGAAATGAGATGGTGCGGCTCTGCCAGTGGGCACCTGTGGCAGGAGAATCTGGGTGGATGAACACCCGGTCTGGTAGCCTCGCCTCTGCAGCTCCAACAGCTTGCCACCCGCCACCTTGGAAACGATAACGGGAGTTGTCAACGGGAACAATATCCAGGAGGAGGATATAACGGAGTGATGGATTCAGGCCCGACAGCTTCAACTTCAAACCAGGAAACATCCGTCTAAAAAAACAAAATGACATAGGTTCAGGACACCAAAGGTCACAGAAAACAGTAAATGAGAAGGAATTAGGGAAGAACTAAAACTGATGAAGGCAAGATGGGATGAAAACATTAAAAACAGAGGAGTATAAAGTTAGAAGAGATGGTAGACTGCTACGACCCATTTAGGAGGCCACGACTTAATGAAAAGTAAATTTATTTCCCCAAGATGGGTCGTGATATGACTTTGGGGTTTGTCTGGGATAAATTGCTACACCCCACAAATAAGGGCTGGGGATAAGGGGAGTAATGCAGATGTAATCTCTCACCTGCCCTTCTTTGTGATGATCATCTCTGTCCCCACCGAGCTGAATTGCTTCCATAAAGACGAGTTCTCCAGCTCCATCTTCACCTCATCTTTCGGGGTTGTGGTTGCAGCCTCATTGGAGACGGGAGCAGGAGGAGGAGCCAGCAGCCTTGGAGGCAGAGCTTTGGCGGCTGCTTCGCATGCCGGAGGGAACAGCGGTATATGCACAGGTGCCTCCCGCTCTGTGGGAAAAAAACTTTATTTAACTGGTGAAAGTGAAGCAAATATGGAGCCATATTTTAAATGTATACTTAAATTAAATATATTTAATTACTTGTACAAACTACTGAATCACTAAGTGTTCATTCAGTCTTTTCCATCTGATCTAAAAACCACTTTCATGTACTTTCAGGTGTACAAAAAAAGGTTTAAAGAGTAAATTGTGTCTTCAGCACTTGACTGGAACTTTCAGTGCAAACGTTTTTTAATGTAGTATTTCTGGTTTGGCTGCTGCATTAAAGGCCCCATCATGCCTTTGTCTTTGCTGTAGGGCATTAATATATTTGTTTTGTCATTTTCTAAGGACCTAAAAAGTGAGAAATTAAAAAGGTTCTAATTTATGAAAACATTTATTCCTTAATGTACAATCAACAGTATAAAATAAGATATCTGTTTATGTTTATTGCTTAAACATGAATGCATTCAGTCCCTCTCACCTCTGTAAAAGCAGTCTCCAATCCTTTGTGGTCCCAGAGTCAAACCAGGGAACATCTCCATGCTCAGCATAGTCCTTCTTGTCTGTCTTTGTCTCTTTATTCGTCCTCTTCACCGGATCCAAATTAACATTTCTTCAGCTCCTTTTGCTCTCTCCTGTTCCTCGTACAGATTTTTTCTCTGCTTTCTATAACAAAACAGTAGCTGCAACTAGAGAGTTTTTCACTCAACTTCTGACTCGCGCTCTTAACCATCGGCTGTCCTTTTTCCGTCAGAGGCCACAGGGCTGACGAGCTCTCTTAAATAGGTGAGTGGGACTTCACACCTATGGCCAAATGGGCCCATTTTCACATAGAGTTTTATTTGCCTCCCTGTCTCTCCTCCCTTTACCCTCAATTCTCATTTCTGTTCCAACAAAGAAAACAAACAACACTCGTCACATTGGAGGAAATCAGGGTTTATCTCAATATCTGAAAACACTGATTGTGATTTACTTTCCTTTATTCTTTTACTTACTCAGTGCACTGAAGATCATTTATTTTACACGCAAATCTGTAAACTATCTAACTATAGATGCATGGAAGGTCAAATATGCTAAATCACAACCATCAACAAGAACATGCATTAATGCATCAAGCACAGTCCAATACAACAGTCTACCCCTTCTTTATATTTTGTTGGGAAAATGGGAAATAGATCCAGCAATTGATTAAAACATACAAACATGCATGAAAACGTAGTATATAAGAAAAAAACAGAATTTTGACAATTCTATAATCAGTTTGAAAGCTGATATTTGGTATGACCACCTTTATTCTTTAACACAGACTGAATTGTCTTGGGAAGCCTTCTTGTAATTCCTTGACGTACTCTTCAGGAATACTTCTCACGGTTTTTGAAGAAAATTCGGAGCGCTTCTTTGGATGATGGCTGCCTTATGTTCTGTTCTCTGTTAAGATGATCCCTCACTGCTTCAGTAATCTATGGTCAATCTATGGCTAATTATTATAACATCTTTATCTTACAGTATTACATATTTTGAGGAAACTGTTGTTGTGATTTGGCACTATATAAATAATACTGAACTGAATTGAACTGATAGTGTTCCTTTATGTTTTTTTTTCTGTCCAAGCATGTTTTTACTGCATCGTCAAAGTATTTGAGATTGTTGTCATGCTGAAAAACAAAGATGCTGCCAATCAGATGCAGTCCAGATGGTTTTGCACTGTCGCTCATAATCTCACTGTACTTTTTTGCAGTGCCATTAATTTTTAAAAGATCTCCAACACCATTGATGGAAATGCAGCCCCAATCCATGACAGATCCTCCACCTTGTTTTGCAGATGTCTGTAGACGCTCACTGCTGTTCCTCTCTCCTCACATATTCATCAAGATTTGAACCAAAACTTTCACATTTGGGTTCATCACTCCATAACTGCTTCCCTTCCTTAAGAATAGCTTCTTGATAGCAAATCTTTCACTGAGACCATTTCTGTTAAGGCTTCATTAACAATAACCTGAATGAAGCATCTCTCAGGTCATTTTATTCCCTATTCCTTAAGGACATGACTTTCAGATACTGTTTGTCTGCTATATGTTTTTTTAGACATGTCCCATCTTCTTTTGTCCTCCACCTGTCCAGTTTCCTTAATTATTTTAAGGAAACACTGCACACCTTGCTAAGATATGCCAAGGTTTTGGCTAATAGCTCTTTAGATGCCTTTTTTTTGTATGCTTAAACAATTCATTAATCAGTGTAAAGAGGCATTCATCTGAATATGGTCAGGTACAAGGACTGGATGAAAAATGACCCCAAAAAAGCTAAAGTGCAAAGAAAAGCTTTGAAAGACTTTCAGAGATTCTCAACACCAATTTAAAACCTACATGGAAGTCTGGTGGTTCAAGGCATTGGCACAGTAATGCATGCAGGAGAAAATAAGTAATTTTTTATTTTATTATAATTAGTAACTATTTACTTTTGTTGTTTTTTGCATTTATTGATGTAAATGCAGAATAATTTATACATAGTTTTCATCTAGCTATTTTTTTAACTTTCTTAATTTTCTCTAATGAATAGTTCTTGGAAATGCAAAACTTCTTATACATTAAAGGAGTTTATTGCTTGGTCCCCTGGGGCTTTCTGATGACTTGATGACATGTTTCTTCCTCCCAGCAGGCTGCCTGTTAGGCTGTCTCAGCAGGGAGTCAGACCCTGAGTTTAGGTGGAGGAGGGCGACAGTTTGGCCAGTGGCTGCAGTTTGGCCACTAGACAAGTGTGACTGTCTAAGTGTTTATATGCAAGTTTGTATTTAGGGATTATGCGCCCAAAACAATGGACCCGTTCAAACTGATTCACAGTGTCCGGATTTTTTTGTGACTGACATTTGTTAAGCAGGCGTGTAAATGTAGCTGTAGCAAAAGTAAATGTGTTTGGATTAAATAATCATTAATAGGAATGGTCTGCACAGGATTTAAGGAGTAAAAAATGGAGTAACCATAATTTGTTTAATAATTTTTGTAGTTTTGCCTCTGAACACCACTGCAGATGAGTTTAAATGATTCAAATGTGACTTTCAGCTTTAATTCAAGGATTTGTACAAGTTTTGCATCAACTGTTTAGGAGTTATGGTCATTTTTATAAACAGCCCTTCATTTGCAAATGGTCAAAATTGGACAATTGATTGATAAGCAGTTTCATGACCAGGTGAGGCCCTTTTCCTTGCAATTTAAACACAAAAAATAATTATAGCTGATGTGGATTCAAAATTTTTGAATTTTTTTAGCTTTTTTGCTGTAATTTTAAAGCTGAGCCCCAAAGAGATGTCAGTGGAGCCCGTCATTAGATTGGAAAAACAAAATTATTTATCAGAGCAGCAAAACATGAGGAGTGGAGGAATCATAAGAAAAGCAACTTGACAGCAAGTAAATGAACACCAAGTCAAGGATACTCTGGAGAAGAGAAGCCTTCATGAATGGAAAAATAAAGGGTTTCCAAGAAGGTGCAAACCACTTGTTACACTCAAGAACAAGAAGGCCGGACTGGACTTTGCCAGAAAGTGCCTAAAAGAGTCTGCAAAGTTGGGCAAAACAAAACAAAAACCCCTCTTTGAACAGATGAAAACACTATGAACTTGTGCCAGAATAATGGGAACATTTAACAGCTGATGATCTGAAGCATACCGCATTAGCTGTCAAACATGCTGGAGGCAGTATTATGGCATTATTATTATTATGGTATTGGTATAATTTGGCTGCCAGTAGAACCAGGTCACCGGTGTTTCTTGATGATATGACTGCTGTTTGGAATAGCAGGATAAATTAAGAAGTGTACTGTCTGCTCAGATTCAGCCACATGCTGCAGAACTGCTGAACAGCACTTCAAAGACCCAAAGCAAACTGCTGAAGCAAACCAAGAGATCTTTGAGACAAAGAAATGGGATATTCCTCAGCGCTCAAGTCAATCACCTGATCTCAACCCAACCCATCATGCTTTTCACTCCCACAAACAAGCAGCAACTGAAGACTGAAAAGGCCTAGCAAAACGTCTCAAGTGAGGAAACGCAGCATTTCTTGGCAACTGCAAAAGCTTTTTATCCAAGCATGAATAATAATCCTTAAATTTAACATTATATCATTTTATCCAATTACTTATGAGTCTCTGAAAAATGAAGGACTGTTTTTTTTTTAATCATAATTCATAATTTCGAAACAGTTAATGCTCATTTTAAGCCCATCATCTAAAGATGTCTGCACTTAAGTCACTCCACTGTGATGGTGTGCAGAAGCAAAGTATAAAAGTGAAATATTTTACTCTAAATTTTACTTTAAAGTAAAAATACAGTATCATTTTATATCAGCATTTTTTTTCTTGCATGCAGCAGTCCTCATTCTGCTTTTCCTGAGTCAGTTTCAACTCCCTGACTTGGTAAAGATCACAGAAAGTTGTCACAAGAAACTTTAGTTCAACAGGCTGCTGCTGAGTTTCATTAGACTTATTTACCAACAGACTCAACAAACAGACTTTCAAATATAAATCAAATAGAGACTTTAAAGCAAATTACACTCTGCAGCTTTGCCTAACTGTGGATGATGCCCTGCAGTATATTTATCCACCTCGTAGGGCTCAGTGGGAGAAGGAAACTTTCAAGCTGACAGGCCTCAGACCTACCTGCTTGCACTATAAAAGTGACAGCTGGAGTCGGTTTACAGGAGCGAAGTATACGCGTTGTTCTAGCTGTTTTCCTTCTCCATTTGTGTGTTGTTAGGGATAAAAGCTGCTGAGGACTGAAAGGAAGCGGAGGTGTGAACACCACACTGAGAGAAAAGCCACTACCCTGACGGGGGGGCAGCGAAGTGTGTGATGCCTCCTAATGTTTTTATGAAAGAACAGGTGTGTCATAGGTGGTGCAGGCGTAAGACTCTGTAAAAGTCAATAATGAGGACTGTTACTAGTTTTGTTTTTGTTTTTAAGCCTCAGCAGTGGGGCAGGAGTACGTGCACTGAAGCAATACCAAAGGCCTGCTCTTTGACATGTATGTGCTAAATCGTTTGATTTCCATCCATGTTTGTTCAGAGGTTAAAAGGTCATCTTGTTGAGAAGAACCTGTCACTTTCATTTATCTTTCACAAGTTATGAGATACATTAAAAAAAATCCTTGAATTGCAGCTTTGAATCTTCATAGCTGGCTCAGGCTGGTGCTGATGTCTCCTGTGGAGCAGGTGGGGTCCAATATCCACGTTTATACAGCAACAGCAAACATTTTAATCCCATGAGGATTACCTTCTCTCTGTGCAGGAAGCAGAAACTATTCATTTTAGGAAAAAAAAAAAAAAAACAACTTGCGGATGCTGAAATTCCTCTCGGCATGGAAGCAAAGGTCACATCATCGGGATTAAAACACACAATGTGTCGTCTGCATGTAGGAGCTGCATGCATTAAGATTACAGATTACTTGTTTTATCTTCGGCTCGCACTGCATCTGTTAGCTGATGATATTTTGTCTTATTCCACACGCCAACAGCACATTTTGATCAACCACAGCCCATTTTATTAAGACCCTTCCAGAGAGACATGATAAATACAACAACATTTAACAATATTTTCAAGGCACAGCCAGTGGATAGCCTTACGTAAAGAGCCTGCATGTTAAACTCCGGGGTTGCCAAAATGTCACACATATCTGTAGTAAAAAGTCATCTTTCAGAAAAACTACTGTGACTTCCAATCAAGAGTCAGTCAAACGACCTCCAGAGGGTCTCTGTCAGCCTTCGACAGGACCACTGTTACGCTATCGGGCAGGCGCACGGCTAGTCTCTCCCTGAACACAGCCAGGTAACCCCGCTCGCTGTTGCTGTGGTCACTGAGGATCACGCTGGTTCCTTTTGCCACAGCATCCAGCACTTCATGGTGGGACATCTCCCCTGAAAAAGGGGCATAATTATGTCTGCAAGCGTTGTGATACAAAGACGTTTTAGTGATATTTAAACTAATAAAATTAAATGTTTGTTACCTGTGACATAGAGGTCCGCCTTGACTCCATTCAGTACTGAGGCCCCTGACCCAGCACATACAGCCACAGTGTACACAGAGGACTCTGGGGAAGGAAAAACAGAACAGGGACATGACTTTTCTTCTTTCTGTGTGGAGTTGCATGCTCTCTCTGTTCCTCTGGGTGCTCCAGCTTGTTGTTCTGCTCATTCAGATTATCAGTGAATTTAAATTTTCTGTGCATGTGAGCATAAACGACTGTGAAAGACTCCCAAACTGACCAGAGTGAACTCTGCCTCCACACCAGTGTTTATGAACTCATGTCCTCCATGACCTTCTACTGCAGGGATGTCCAACTAATTTGACATCATGGGCCACTTGCAGCCCACTTTGATCTTAAGTGGACCGAACGAGCAAAACTGCCCTTTCTGTCAGTGTAATGATATTGAACTACACATTTAATCCCACTTAATATAAGAAAAAGTGCAGAGCTGATGGACGGAAATTCTTGAACCTCCATCGACGTTTCTACCCTTACTGCACCAGTGGTAGAAATTAAATTTGAGCATGTTATAATTAAACTATTCTAATTTAGTGACAGATTTGTGTGTGTCCACTCGTCTCTCACCCAGCGTCTCCCCCCAACCCAGAGCTAAACGGAGGTGACTCAAACCCAGGTGAGACTTCAGTTTTTGGACGGCTGCTCTGACAGTCACTGGCTGGTCCAAAACGCTGCATCGGCCTTGGCCGTGGCCCAGGAGAGGGGGCTAAAGAAAAGATGAAGTGTTACTAAAGCGAACAGAACAAGTTAATCATAACAATAGTCAGGAACTTTTTCTTCAGATTCCTGTAACAGCCCGCACCTTTTCTAACTTTACGATGGTGAGAGACTGGCTGGGAGTGCCGTGTCCTAACAGAGCCTGGACACTCGGGGTCAGCGCTGAGTCACAACAGGTTACGCTGACATGGATACCACTGCTGTCTGGTCTAATATGAAGAGACATGAACTGTTATTTACCAGTACAAAGAAACAAAAGACTTAATAACATCAAGTGTACGATTTACATCCATTACATAACTGTCATGTCTCGATAACTGAGACATGAATTTTGAAAACATTGGTTTCTGACTGTGCTGAGGTTCTTTCAGACTCTTTGTTCCATGTTTAATCCATGATTTACAACTACAGAAAAGCTTCTTTCCCAACTTAAAAGGCACTTTGAGTGATGTAAGTGTACTGTGATTGGTCCGGGTGTGAGTGTCAAACAAATAAACCGAACGACCACTAAACAAAGGTGACATTAACATCAGTAAAGCATTAGCCACGCAAACAACAGCTGTTAAAGCAAGGCTTAAAAAGAAGAGGAAAAAAAACAAAGAAAAATCTGAAAATATATGCAAGGAGGAAGAAGAGAAATCCATCATTAAGTTTGGATATATTATTATTTCTAAAACAAGAAAAAAAGATTTTGATTTTGAATATGGTGTCTTATATAGGAGGAGGAAAAAAATCACACTAAAGTTGGATCAAAATGTTGTTCATTTTTCTTTTTTCCCATATTCAAACTTTAGTATGTGTAAAATTATTCACCCGACTTAGTTTTAAAAGGATATTATGTGCTTTATGCATGAGAAACTGTAGATAAAGTATCAGTCCTCTACAGTTTCTATGCTTTCAGTGATAGAATATCCAATTATTTTAAGGCCTTCAAGCATCCATACTCGTAGTGCCATACTACCTGATGTTTACCATAATAATGACATTTTGGTTTTAGTTGGGAAAAGGGGCTAAACACAGCCTTACTTTCAACCCCTCAGACATAAAATGTATAATATATACATTTGAAGTTTCTGTAAGTGGTCCGAATGCAAACTGAAACAAATCTTTGGTAATAGTTACAGTCCAAAAGCAGCTTTGGATTACCTGTGATGGCTTCAAGTGTCTGCAGGTGATTTTCAGCTTTGATTAAAGCTAAACGCAAATTACAATAATGTGTGTTTGGAAGAAATAAATCAAAAGTAACACATATATGACAAAACTACCAAAATGGTTTTAATTTAAAGCTTGTTGCTAATCGGTGATGTCTGAACACAACCTGCTGCCTGAATGCTGTAGGGTCGTTCCACCGTCACAAGCCTTCAGCTCCTCCATGATCATGTTTAGTTCCTCTGCGCTTCTGACCGTGAATTCCAGTTTGTGACTGTGGGAGGCGGCGCCGAGAACCTGACTCAACACCGACACCTGACCGCTGCCTGATGCGACAAAGAAAAAAAGCAGTGGGGATGAAATGAAGGTCAGTGAATAAGCATCGTGTTCATATCTAATGATTTAAGTGCGAGCATCACATTTTACATTCAGAGAGACTTCTCACCAAGTCCTCCAACCAGCCAGTCGTTCACGCCTCCTTTCACGCAATCCCATGAAGTGTGAGGGGAAAAGACTGCTATGCCGACCTCCACGGCCCGCACAGCCAGCCGCTGCTTCCAGTCTTTCTGAACCAGACGCTTGATTGGCCGAAACAACGGCGGGTGATACGAAATAATGAGATCGCAGCTCACGGCCACTGCTTCCTCCATGACGGCATCTGTGAGGTCGTTGGTTAGCAGAATGGTCTTAACGGGCCGAGGTTTGCTCGGCTCCACCAGCAAGCCGACATTATCCCAAGACTCAGCAAGCGACAGCGGAGCAAGCTGCTCCAAAACCTGCAGGACTTCCTTTAATTCCATCAGACCGGACGAATGAACTGAGGAGAAATTAACAGACGGAGGAAGGCGAGCTGAGCTTTGTCTGCTAGGCAGGATGTGATGACTGTGGGTAGATGAAGGAAGAGAATGAAGGACGGATGAAAAGGCTGAAGAGCACAGAGCAGCTCGGGACTTAAAACTCTGTCTAGTCCAAAGCCTTCTACTGGTGAGCGAGAAAAATGTCCAAGAGAGGTTTCTACATCCAGTCAACATCAGGGGAGATCTGTGTGGACAAAAAGAAATAACTAAATAATCATAAATGTTAGACATTCACAGATTCATATGTGACTGCAGGTTTTTGTACAAGACTGAAACTAACAACTGCTGAGCTATCATCTTTTTCTTCGTTCCACTGTCCACTTTAGGCGTTCACCACAGTGGATCATCTGCCTCCATCTCACCCTATCTCTAAAATCCCCATCTACACGACCTCCTTCACTACATCCATGAATCTTCTCGGTGGTCTTCCTCTTCTCCTACTGCCTGGCAGCTGCATCTTCTATATTTTTCTTTTTCTCATGTCTTCATGGTGTCATCTTTATCCCGCCGTGTCCCTCTTTGTAATCTCTATACCTCCACAGGTAGGCCATGAGGATTCTACTGATTTCCTCTTCAAATTATTAGATGTCCTGTCTATGCTGAGTCTATTCTCAGTCACAGCCTGTGCTGCTCACACTGACACCTTCAGATCTCACATGCACTGAATGTCTGACATTTTTTAAAAGGAAAAATTAACTTAATTAATTGGATTAATTAACTTAATCCAGTGATCGGTTTTGTATGGTTTTATACGCATTTCCACCTGTCCATTTCCACATGGATACACATGCTGTTTTTGCCTCGCTTAAAGACTCCATCCAAAGTTAAACACTAATCAGAACAGTTAGCAACAAATGCAAACAGACGGCTACAACTCTTAAGCGTACATTTTTTTTAGTCCGGAGCAAATCATTTAGTAAAAGCCACATACCCACACTTTATGATTATTATAAACCTTATTCATAGACTTAAAACCAGCAGCTTTGAGTTGTGACAGCTGCCAAGCGTGCAGCTAACAGCGGAGCTAGTTAGCTGCCTTTAGCTGCCACAGTAAACCGTCCTTTAACGTCAACACACCAGCATGTAAATATATGCACGAAGCAACTTACCGTCGCTTGTTTCTGACGGATGAAAACTAATAACACGATGGTTTTCAGTTTTTAGCTACATATGTTCTGGTGTAGTGGCAGAGGCTGTACTTACTGCAGAACTCGCACGATGTCCCTTTTCGGCTTCCGTCCGCAACAGTTGGGGGGGTTTTTTTTGACTTAATGAATGGCTTTATTTATTTATTTATTTATTTATTTATTTATTTATGGGGTCAAGTTATGTCTTTCGTCTTGACCATGAGGACATATACATATAACTTATAAACTAAGTAGTATAAATTAGTTATAGTAAGTATTATAAAGTAAGTTTTATTTAACATATAGTACTTTCTTCTTTTTTATTTATCACCCAAAAACTGGCCATTGCGCCATCGACACAGAAACTACAACTTAAATATAGAAAGGACTGAGCGCATGTGCAACAATACAAAGAGGAAAATAGAGAATAACAATGAATGATATTAACATAATTACAAGTGATATTAATTCAGCCCAAATGAAATAAATAAATAATAAAAAATAGAAACAGAGCTTTGTAAATGTCCTTTTATTTTTTTTACTTTTTAAAGTTTCACATATCCTTCATAAAATTTGAAGAAAGGTGGTTTTAATATTCAGGAATCTGCATCGATGAATAAAATAAACAGTATTATCAAGACTTTGTTGAACTCGGGAAAATTTGGTTATATATTTGGTTTGGTTTGGATTTTGTGGGAAAGAGTGACTGGTGTAAGTTTTACTCCCCTTTTTATTGTCCTCTGTTTGGCATTTGTGTACATCTCTTCTATAATTGGTTTCAGTGCTGCAGAGATTGTTGGACGCTGATTGCAAAGACCTCCTGTGTCATCTTTAGTTCACAGCATGTCTTATTGGTCTACACCTGAAGGCGCTCTGGTGTGACTCTGATGCAAGATTAGAGGCCGTGTCCATTATGCTGAAAAGTTTCCTCAGCACTGAGAGGACAGAAGGTGATTTCCTTAAGACGGTCTAAAGGAAATCAGCTGTGGTGTCCCAGTACGCTACAGCATAAAAAATATAACGCTGGCCACCAAAGAAAAAGAAAACAACAGACGCATTGAAAGATTAACAAGTGGCTCACTGTTCAGCTACAGTATTCATTTAAAGGAACACAACTTGTGCACATTTTTCAAACAGAGGCCAAAAGGAAGTTAATTAGCTGAAGGTGAAGCAGCTTACTGATCTCTTTATTACAGGTCGCACATCAGTAAGACTGAGACGCACAGAATTCCCTCATCACTCACTTCTCCTGTCCCACTCAGTCCTTTCTTTTTCCGTTAAGGTAGTGCAAATAGCAACAGTATTTGTAGCAGTGAAATAATGAAATAACAACATTTCATTGTTATTTCATTGTTCAAATCCCAAATCTTTGGGATTTGAGCATCCCAAAGAATCAGTTAAGAAAAACAATATTTCTCAAGTCGTTACGGTTCGGCTTAGTGTTTTTCAACAACGAGCTTCCCGATGTTTATAGCGCTGGTGTTGTGCAATATTGTCTGTACTCAATGTTACAAAACAAATTCACAGATTAATGTGAGCAAGCAACAACTGGATGACTTTGATAAGCTGTATTTACTCTCACAGGGCAGGTGCTCCAGCAGCAGATACCCCGCAGTGCATCCGACTCTTCTCAGAAAGATTAAAGCTAACCAAATGAAATCTGCCTGGGGAAGGGGCTATCAGTGCAATAAGTTAAAATGGTAAGGGTTGTTTTTTTTTTTTTTTTATGTATCTGGCTGAGAAGAAGTCATTGGGTATAGAGGCTACATCAGAGTTGAGTCTGAGAGCAACCAAGAGAGAGATTACTGAGGATTAATGCAATAAAGGTTGATGCTGGATGTTAGAGGGATCAGGAAGGATCAGGGCAAAGGCCAGCCAGTGAGCATTACATCATCGGATTCTTCCTCTGGACTCATCAACCCTCGCTTGGCACTACATCCGTAAGGTTAAATGTGCCCCCCACCCTCCTCTTTAAACACCCTCACTTACATTAGTGTGCCATTAATAGCAGTGAAATCTTGTCACTTTTTTTGTTTCAGTGTCTGAGTCCCAATCCACATAAAAGAACAATCATTTCAAAATAAAAGTAATAATAATAATAGTAATAAAAGACCAGATATTTTGTTACTTATCCATTAAGCATACCAGCAGAGCGAACACTCTCTCTGTGGAGCACCATTCACAGATGTGTGTTTAGTAATTAGCTTCACTTTTGTTCATTGGCAGCATAAGTCCTCATGCCCCATCTGTCTGTCTGTTTGATGCTGTGCCCAGTTTGTCGTGCAGCAACATCTGCCTGGCTGGTGTTCCCCGAATGTGACAGTACAGCTTGTCCTGTGGCACATCCCTGAATTCAGCCCCAATATTTAATCCCAGCCGCGCACACTGTGGATCGGTATGACACAATTACTGATCACCAACTGCAAGAATGGATCAGTCCACAGGTTAAGAAAAAAAAAAAAAGTGTTCACGTGCCTCAAATTTCACTCAACCTTTCTTTTCCTTCCTTTTTTTAATGGATATGGGGTTATAATACTCTTTAATACTTTTAAGCTCCTCTCTGTGTTTTGTGTCCATATTTCCGTGAAGTTCCCAACTTACAGAGAGTATTAACCTCAAATAATGGCTCAGACTGTCTCTCTAAAAGGACACATTCTGGGACATGAACCTCTTTTTTTGTTTTGGGGGAGGTTTTTTTTGTTGCTCTTAATACCTTTAAATCTGTTATGCATCAGTCACAAAATCCCACATTTCTGCCTCTTTTCAGTGACATAGTTTCTTAGTGTCCTTCCAAAGTTTTTACTCAATCCTAGCAGAGCAGAGTCCCTAAACTTTTTCATGTTTAAATCACTTCTTTCTGGAGTGAAATGACTGCACGTTACTGGAATACAAGAAGTCACAAGGACAATATGGTCTACACCTAAATGAGTCTTTGGGTTCCTTTCAGGCAGACACATAGAACTTTCTTGTTCCACAGATACTCCTGAATCCGTTTCGGGTGTTCAGATCAGATGTTTTATTTTGTGCTTTGCCAAAGAAAAGGCAGATCCATGTTACTGCTTCACTTGTTGGAAGTTAGTTACAGATTACCTAATACAACCAGCTCAGGTTAATAATGTACAGTACAGTAGTGACTTAACTTTACCATCCTGCTTTGTTGTAACATTGTTTAAATGGTAAGAATAATTTAGTAATAATACAAATATAAAAACAATTCCATTTCAACAAACTTCCACTGTATACAGTCTATATCAGGGTTGTCAAACATGAGGCCCAGGGGCCAGAGTGGGCCTGGCAAAGACTACAATCTGGTCCACGAGATGCCTTTGGAAGATATGCATACACTTTTGGACTTTTAATGTATTGTAACAAGTTTTGGAGTTTTTTCCTGCTGATGAAGACTTTCCTCGTGCCCATTCATTCTATACCAAAGTAATTAAGTAATAGGTAAACAATTAAACACAGAAAGGTTACAGAAGAAATAGAAGTTTCAGTTTTTTACAATAAGTCCACAAAAAAGGTGTGAAGTAACAGGAACTTTCTGATTTTTTCTGTAATCTTACACAGTTATTCCTCACAATCTAAGCCCAAAGAGATGCTGAAGGGTTTCTTTCATTTACTACAGCATTATTTCTTTATCATGTGGAAACACTGAGACATACTTGGACTTCTTTTTCTTATATTAAGATATTTCAGTGATTAAATATATACTTAGACTTCTTTCCACTGCCCACTAGGATCAAAGTGAACTAAATGAGTTTGGCATCCCTGGTATATATGATGAAACATAACAACAGAGTTTTGTTTTTTTAGCACTCTTATGCTTGAAAAATCATTATAAATTGTTATTCTTTGCATAGCTATAAAATCTGCTCTGAGATCAGTCTGATATTGCTTGTTTTGAGCATCTAATTTTAACATTTGCAAGCCCAGAAAAGAACAGCATCAGTGTTAGTGCGTGTTTGCAGAGGTGCAAATGAATGTTCCTGACTGGCCTTGTCCTCGACTGTCATTGATGGGACATCATTCTGACAAATTCTGCAAAGGAGAAGAAGACGAGGATCAGTTGCTTCACTTCACTGCACTGTTACTCTTTACTGATGTAGGTGAAAGACAGTCTGTACCTTCAAAATCTACGGTGCCATCCCCGTTGTCATCGGCCTCTTTCACTATGGCATCGATTTCTCTCCGGCTCATGTGCTCTCCCATCAGCTTTATCATGGCTGATCGCAGCTCCTCCGTTGTGATCTCTCCATCTCCGTCCATGTCAAACTAACAAGAGGCAGCAAACAGCAGAGAGCAGCTTTTAATCACAGCCGTGATGATAATGATCGCCATCTGGCAGTCTAGAACGCAGGTGGCTGGAAACTTTCAGAAAAAGCTCTTTACTCTCACCTCTTTGAAGGCGTCTTTCAGCTCCTTCATACCGATCATTCCAGACGTCTCTGCCAGCAGTTTCGGGGCCATCAACTCCACAAAGTCGTCAAAGTCGACTCTGCCACCGACTAGAGGGGAAAAAAGGTTCGACATGTCTGTGGGCTTTTCTGTCTCTCATCAAATTTAGATTAAAGCAATGAAAACAGCCGCTAACTATGGGATTCCTCAACGAATTCAACTTTTAACACTTTTTTTAAGGACTCACGGTTCATGTTGATATTTTGACTCAGCTCGATCAGCTCCATCTCAGTGGGCATATAACCCATTGTCCTCATCAGGTTGCCCAGGTCCTTACAGCTGATCAGCCCGTCCTTGTCTTTATCAAACTCATTGAATGCATCACGCAGCTCTGCAGAGGTTTAAAGTAAAAAAAATCAAATCATAAAATGAAATGTGCAAAGTGTACAAATGTAGGTAAAAAACAATGACATAGTCATAAAAATGAGAAAACAAAAAATATTACCATCAATCTCATCATCAGCCAGCTGTCTTGTCTGCACAAAGA